CGTCATATGTATACCTTTGGGTCAGGCATCCGTACTTGGAGAATTCTGTTTTCTGTGTTTTCAGATTGTGCCTGTGCGAGAAGGCCTTGGCAGAGTACCTGGATACCAAAAGGCTTGCCTTCCCTCGGTTTTACTTTCTCTCCTCCCCCGATCTGTTAGATATTCTTTCCAATGGCACAGCTCCGCAACAGGTAAGCTGGGGATATGCCTGCAGAAAGGTCTAGAAGGACTGAGGAGCTCCTGGTGGGAATTTCAGGCTCCCCCTGTGCCTCCATTCTCCAGCAGGGTGTGTATTTCAGGCCTGTGTTGCCACCAGCATCAATGTCAACATCAGACGCTTTCTTATCCCCAACATGATTGCTGCTCAGGGTGTCCTCTGGCCCCTCACGGGCTATTCCCTACTGGAGAACTGGAGAAGCTTTGAGAATGGCAAAGGTGGATAGGGTTAGGCCTTGACAGAGAATGCCTTTGATCTGGTTCTGAAGAGAGATCCAGGCAATAGTGGGCAAAGTGATAGCTAACATTTCCATAGGAGATAATATAGAAGTGGCATAACTGGATATTGAGGTGGCTTAGTGGCAAAAGCATATATGAGAAGTCCAAAATTTGGGGTTCTAGCCTCTGGTTCTAGGTATTATTAGACTCACAGTTTGGGGCATATGACTTCTTTGCAACACACTTTCCTCATCTGTAAAATAGGAGAAGTCTACTGTATTATGAGGGTTTTTTGAAATTTGAAGTAACTAATTTGAAACACTGTTGGTATTTGGAGTTACAGGCATTGGTTCTCAGAGTGTGTTAGAATCACTTTAAAGGCTTGTCAAAGTAGAGGTTCTTAGGTCACACTCTCAAAGTGTCTGATGGAGCTAGAGAATTTGATTTCTAAGAATTTTCCCAATGACACTATAGGTCTAGGGACTGCATTATGAGAACCTCTGCTATCCACCATAGGGTCTTCATCTCAAAATGCTTGAATGAGTTCTTTTTTCTTCTTCTGTATGATTTTGTTATTCATTAGAAGTATAGTTGGGTTTATTTATTTCATTTTGCTTTCAGTGTTAGTGTTTTTCCCATCCTTCTTGATTTGATTTTTTTTTGAATATGTGTAACATTGATATAATTCCAAAAGTCAAACTATGCAAAAAGATACATATACTCAGAGAAGTGCCAACCCTACCCCGCCATTTCTTCCACGTCTTCACCACCTCTGTTCCACCCCACACAGGTAACCAATTTCACTAGTTTCTGGTTTACCTTTGCAAAAATAAGCAAATAAATATTTCCATTCTTATTTCCTCCCTCCCCCTCTCTTTTTTCCATTCTTATTTCCTCCCTCCCCCCCACTCTGTTTTTCAAATTGAAGTCTCACTTTGTCCCACAGGCTGGAGTGCAGTGGCATGATCATGTCTCACCACACCCTCCACCTTCTGCCTCAGCCTACCCTGCCTAGTAGCTGGGACCAAAGGCATGTGCTTCCACATTCGGCTTTTCTTTTTTAATCTGTTGTAGAGACGAGGTCTTGCCATGTTGCCCAGGCTGGTCTTGAATTCTTGGGCTCAAGCAATCCTCCTCCTGCCTCAGCCACCCAAAGTACTTGCATTACAGACTTGAGCCACTGCACCTGTCCTCCTTGCTCTTTCATGCACAAATGATAGCATGCTATATATACTTGTTTGTACTTCACTTTTTTTCTACTTAGTCATATATTCTGGAAATTGGAAAAATACTCCATATCAATTCAAAGACATCTGCCCCCTCCCCTTTTTTTTAACTTTTGTCTCATACTCTGTGGATTGATATACCACAGTTTGGCCGTAGGTTATTTATCATATTTTGCAACTACAAATAATGTGGAAAAAAACCAAATAATGTGGTATTGAATAACCTTTAACTTTGTATTGCTAGAGGTCTATCTTCCAGGTGAATTCCTAGAAGTGAGATTGTTGACTGAAAGGGTAAATGCATATGTGGTCTTGCTAGCTTTTGCTAGGTTTCCCTCCAGGGGAGATGTTCCTGTGCCCTTTTGTGCAACCACCAGTAACAGATGAGAGCTTCTCCAACAGAGATAAAGGTTAAGGTTGGCACCATACAAAGGTTGACATAATGAAATTGTTTTTTTGATTTGTTGATAAAAAGCAAGCACTAAAGAGAAATTATACCCGATAGTTATAGCCCTCTCTTTTTTTCCTATAGATTAAAACATTTCCATAGTAGCCAGGAATGGTGAGGTCGAAGTATTGATTCTATTTTGTGACTATATTTTTATTAATTATATGTATAGAAGATATCAGATCACTGCCAGGCTGTTTATACTTTTTATACATATACACATATTTATTTTTATTTACTTATCGTTTGGTTTGAGAAAATCTCTACCCACCACCCTAAAGGATGAAGCATGATAGAATAATTCCTAGTTCTTCCTAAATTTGTGACACTCCGTCATTTCACATGTGAGTGATTGAGTGGTTATGTTTAGAATTTATGCATCACAGCAATTTCCCCTCAATTCCTTACAGACATTGTTCTGATGTTTGTTGTTTCCAGAGAAGTCATCTTAGGCTGCCTGCTTTTTTGTGTTTAATCTTTTTAGATAGCCTTATTTCTTTCTATTTGCATCTCTATAGAGATTAAAATTTAAGTTAATTTTTTGAAAATAGTATATGTTTAGATATTTGCTTTATCTTGTTAATTTGTCCCTGACACATGACTAGGTTTCTTTCCTATCTGAAAACCAAAGCTTTTGTTATCTTGGAAAAGTTTTCTTCCACTATATTTTAAAATACTATTTCTATTCCATGTATCCAGATATTTTTCCCTTCAGATTCATCACATTTTCATAATCTGAGATTCCATTTTCCAGTGCTATAGACATTCCCTTTTTTAAATCATATTTTTGTCTTCTTCCTTGGTATTCTTTGATAGTTTCTCAAGTTTATCCACCATATTTTTTGCATGTAAATTTAGCACTTCATTGTTTCTAATACTACTGTAAACTGTGCCGTGTCACTTTTATTTTCCTTTCTTTATTTCTCTCTCTGCCAACTCAACTTTCATCTTATATTTTATAGAGTTTATGTTCTTTCATTTAATTGAAACAAAGCAAGGTGATGTTTTTTCAAAATTATTAGTTGACTTTACTAATGCTTTTTAATATATACTCTTATTCAACCTCTTGAATCCTGTTTTCTCCTTCTTTTAAGTTTCAGGATATTTTCAGGTCCCGTATTGATTGTATTTTTTTTAATTTGCTATCTGTCTTTGGATAAAGAAAGGTTCATCCCATCAATGTATTTATCCCAAGTCAGTGGGTGAGTCTCCTCGAGTACCCTCACATTTTACCTAAATGCTCTGAGACTTTTCTCTCATCATAATCTAGAGAGCTGGTTGTTCTCAGTTTAGCATTAAAACTCAGGGTTTGAAATCCTGAGGACCCTTTGTAACTATTCAAGAAGCTCTAACATAGAGCAACTTTCTGTTTATTCTCCCCACCCTCCACCCCAAGACCACAATGTGGCTCTGTCCAACATCCCTCCCAGCACTACTGCTGGGGCATCCCTCTGTGTTATGAGCTGTCATGCCAGGGAGCAACCCAGCATGGCCAAGCATTCTACTTGTTGTGAATATGCCTGCCTCGGCTTTAGATCCTTCTGATATTTGTCTGCTGCACTAAGGAGGCTCTAGCAGTGGGGTGGCATCTTCCATGAGCCACCATCACCACTGCTTTTGAACTCCCAAATTTGTGTATATTAGCCAGATTGTTCTCTGCTTATCTCCCGACCCCCAGTAGTGTTTTCTTTGGAAGAAAGTTTACAACTTGATGAGCACATTTTTATCTAATCTGGTCCTGTCTATAGTTGTCCAAGCAGCAATTAATTAGTCAAACCACTTGGCTTGGTTAGTTTGTAGCTAGTGCATGACTCTCACTAGTTTTATATAATATTCCTTTGGCCACTTCCATCCAATTTAGTTTGTTCTCTCCTCACATCATTATCATGCCCACAAACTTCCCTCAAATGTTTAGTCTACCTTTCTGTCTTCACAATGGTTGGCCCCTAAGCAATACTAATACAAAGCTTTCTGGACACATTCTCCAGTGCTTTGGTGTGGTTTTCATTCATAGGTTCAACGTCACCTTTCCAAACTTTTTGACAACATGGCCAAGATGCGATTCCAGCTAGATGCCAGTGAGAAACCAACCAAGACAAGTCTTGGCATGTACAGCAAAGAAGAAGAGTATGTGCCCTTCAGTGAGCCCTGTGATTGCAGTGGGCAGGTAATGTGACAATCTTTTTCCCTCCCTACACCTTTCTTTCTCAAGTGTCTGCAATCAAATATGATCAGCATCAACTTTGGGGAGAGCGTTTCTGGCCTCAATCCAGTGCTACTGTCTGTGTCTTGGGACAGCCAGCTTCCTTTGACTTGAACTGACATTAGAACAGTGTCTGGTGCCCTGCTTTCCTCTGAGAAGGACACATGTCAACATTAATATCTTTTGCTTAGTCAAAGACCTGTGCAGAAGGGAATAAAATGCACATAAACAACTAGCCAAGTCAATGAGAAAAGTATTTTTAAATGATTAGCAGCACCAGAAGACATCAACATGGCAACCCCTGGAGCACCCCACAAGGGAATCTGGAGCACTGACACCTTCCCTGGGAAAAAAATGTCCTTTGAAATCCACTGCTTTGCTGCAATTTCCCCTCTCTGCACAAATGCAACTCGGAGTCACCTTTCCCCTACAAACCCTTCCCCTTGAAGAGCCAACTAGTCCCCAGCTCCAGGAGTGACAACCTCCAAATCCCATGCCCAATTCAAGGAACATGAATCATAGGATAATTCTCTTCTTAAACTTCCTTCCCTTCCTTCAGTGCTGCCACTAAAGTATAAGCCCTTCCTTGTTCATTATTTTAAATGACCCTGCAAAGCCTTGTCCCTGGGGATTCTAATCTAATGAGGAATAACCTCTAGAAAAAAGATCTCTTACAGGGTTCCAAATGTATCTTAGAAAGCAATTCTAGTACAAGAAAATAATCAGAAATTCTTAGTCATATTACGAGGGTGGCCCTGGGATGTAATTCTAAATGAATTCTTTTTCTAGACCCAGAAAGCATCAAGTTGGGAAATTCAGTCCTGGTTTGCATCTCCATGCTCAGTGTGTGCAAGGTCATGGGAATCCACTGATTTATTTGCACTGAGCTCAACCTAGTTTTAGATCCCTTGTATGAGCTCTGGGTGGCTCACTCATCCCAGCCCCTTTACCTGCTACTCTGTCCTGCATGTTCCAAACATGCACATCAGCCTGCTGTTGATTAAGCCTAGTTCTTACTTGTCATCACCCCAGATCACAAGTACCATGTCTCCCTGTGCCTTATACAGCCACTCGGAGTTTGCATACCATGTGGGGCTCCATCTTTTTCTCTCCCTCAGGCTAACTGGAAGAAATGTATAGTATTGACTGAAGTTTTTAAGGCACCCAGTATCTAAGGCAGAGTTGTTCTTCTAGGTAGAAACTTGGCTGAACCACGTGCTTGCTCACATGAAGGCTACTGTGAGGCATGAGATGATGGAAGGCGTAGCCGCTTATGAAGAGAAGTCAAGGGAGCAGTGGCTTTTTGACTACCCAGCTCAGGTATTCTCCTTACCAGACCTTAGTGCCCCTACCTCGCCATCCTCTAGCCATGGCCTGTCCTCAACTGGGCACTCTACCTTCACCATCTCCTTCAGCCTTCAGAGACTGCCAGACAACAGACTTGCTGTTAGCTTCACAGTCAGAAAGGGCTTGAATACCAAAGGGCTGTGAGAGGTCAGCAGGAAAGAGCAGAAATGTTGACAACCATTACCTCACTCACCCATGACCTTAGAAAATCAAGAGAATTCTATTTTTATCCTCATTGGGGATCATAGAGAGAAAATGTAAATAGTTCAAGTCTTTGAACCAGCCTTGTTTATATGTGCCTAGCTCTGAGTCGAGTACAGGAGATGCCAGCCGGGCATGTGACAGTGAAATCTGCCCTGCTGGAGTTTTCAGTTTCATGTGGAACTCAGTCACTGACAAATATGGCTGGTGGGATAATAGGGGAGGTTCAGAGAAATCTGGGAGCATACAGCTAGTTAGTGGGGTCTAGGAACACCCCCCTTAACTTATGATATATAAGTTGAGATTTGAAGTACGTGTTAGCAAGCTGAAAGCAGAGGGAAAGAGCAACCAAGCACAGGAAAGAGTACAGGCAAAGGCTCAAAAGCAAGGGTGAATATGGTGTGTTTAAGGAATGGAAAGACACTAAATGTGACTGAAGAGTAAAGCCAGAAGGATCAAAAGGCAGCTGACGGGTAAACCATGTTAGGGAGTCTGGCTTGATTCTAAGATATATCTGAATTCTTTATAGATTTCTCAGTAAGGTAATAGAGAAAGGGCCAAACCCTATGAGAAGTTTTTAGAATGTCTGTGGCTGCAATATACTACTCTTCCTTTCCTTGGTTAATGGTATAGTAGCAGCGTTGGTCTATGTGAGGGTTGCAGACATTTTATCATCATTGAAGCCAAAGAAGTGGATGAGATTGCCCTTGAAAAGTATGTAGACTGAGATGAGAGTATAGAACAAATCCTTGAGCATTGTTCAGATCCTAGCAGGAAGGAGGAACCAGGAAAGCACAACGAGAAAGGGTCTTTTTAGGAAGAAGGAAAATCAGGAAATGGTGATCATGGCAACCCAAAAAGAAGCTGTTGATAGCAGATGAGATGTCAAAAATGTCAAACACTTTTACAAGACCAAGCAAATAAAGAGAATGAAGAATGTTCATGGATGAACTTGGTGAGGCCATTTCAGGGAGCAGAAGGGAAGAGGCCTCATTGCAGGGGATTGAGGAGTGAGGAGGAGGTAGGAAGCATTGACTGAATGTGGGTAGTAGGGAGAAAGCTGGCTCTGAGGAAGAGAAAGGAGTCAGCACGCAGAGGAGGAGGAGAAGTATTTATTGACATTAGATTTGGTACATACCATTAAACCATTTCAAAAAGGCCACCGATACAAGAGAAACTTCTTTGAAAAAATCTAATAGGATATAAACTCAAAGGTAAAAATGGTTCAACCACGGAATGACACTATTTACGACAACAAGATTCTCTATTTCACAAAAGTTGTATTTCCCTTCAGGAGTTCTTGTTTACCTGTATCAGAATTTTGAAATGAGAAAATGTGTTGCCTCCTGCTATTGCAATAGATGTCAAATAGAGCAGTGTCTCCCAAACCAAATGATACTACAGATGAGCAATGGATCTAAATTCTCCACTATGAATAATCAAAATTATGCATGCTCCATATAAAATTATTCAGCAAATAGAAGAAATGGTTATCTGAATCACTTTTCCATTTATTTATTTTTAATCTCTGAAAAACACCAATTTTATTGATCACACAGATTTTTTTGTGTCATTTACTTTGGCCTTCAAAAGTAGGTATCTTAAGGTTACAGATTTTAAAAAATAAGAAATGCAATGAAAGCATAGTGAACCAGTAAATATGAGCCACAAATGATCAGCAGTGGTTCACTAAATTAGAATACATGAACCACAAGAGGTTGCAGAAGAATAGAGCAAAGACTGGATGTCGCTGAGATGCTAGGGCAACATATCATTATCCTTCTAAGCTCAAGAGAGATGCTGCCTCTGGTAAATAAAAAACTGAATGATTAGGGTAGTAATTTCTAGAAGCCACTGACATTGGCCAGAGCCAGTTTTTGGTTGTTCTCATCCAAATGATACATTTTTCAAGAGCAGAAAGTGTTTTTCCCACTTTTGTTGTAACTTCTTCTCATCTCCAAAGTTTTAGAGCATATGATTCACTTAGTGGATGCTGGTGGAAGAGGGAAGTATGGGTTTTAAGTCACCTACACAATCACATCCTGAGTCCTTGCTGTGTAGTGAGTAGACTGGTTAGGAAACAGGCATGATAACAGTTTACAGAGCAACTCTTGGTGCCACAGGTGGCCTTGACCTGCACTCAGATCTGGTGGACGACAGAAGTGGGCATTGCATTTGCCAGGATCGAGGAAGGCTATGAGAACGCCATGAAGGACTATTACAAAAAGCAAGTGACCCAACTCAAAACCCTCATCACTATGCTTATTGGCCAGCTCTCCAAGGGAGACCGGCAGAAGATCATGACGATATGTACCATCGATGTACATGCCCGGGACGTGGTGGCCAAGATGATTGCTCAGAAGGTACGTTCCAAACATCCAGGGGTATCTTTCTTTGTGTACCATTACACCATGGGAATAGTTCATATACAGCCAAAATACAGGGGCCCCAGGGTCTGCACAGCACTTGCCAGACAGCTGAGGGAGGATCATAGTGGTTGCTCCTATTTTTTAAAACTTCCAGCGAAATAGTGCAATAGGAGCAGCTTGCACCTTCTATGCGGTGGTGATCATGGCACGCTGCATTCTTGAGCAGCAGACAGCACCCAGATCATCCAGACCCCTCATGTTCTATGGCCAAGGGGCTACCTGCACCTACTGAACACCATGATTCACATACCTACTCTACTACTCTCTCCTTAGGTAGACAGTGCCCAGGCTTTCCTCTGGCTGTCTCAGCTGCGCCATCGTTGGGATGACGAGGTCAAACATTGCTTTGCCAACATCTGTGATGCCCAGTTTTTTTATTCCTATGAGTACCTGGGAAACACACCTCGCCTGGTGATCACACCTTTGACTGACAGGTGAGCACAGGTGTCAACCACTGACAACCCTACTGCTGTCTAGCTCAGGCCATCCAGTGGCCATCCAAGGTCAAGGTTACCCTCACTTGCTGTATGTCACAGAGTTGCAGGGAAAGAACCTGACTCAACACAGCAGATTTAAAATGAAAGTAAAAGGATGTAGGGCAGATCCTTTCCTGGCACAAATCCAGAGCAAATCAATGAACTGTGACTTTTTGAGGAATTACTAGGCAGTCATATACATCTGGGTTCTAACAGCTCTAGGGCATACTAGCTGTTTGAACTTGAGAAAAATTGACCTGATGTTTGGTTTCCTCATCTGTAAAATGGAGTTAGTCACTCACACGTCACATGATTTTTGTAAGGATAAAAGATAGCAATGTTGGGTGAATGTAGGTAGGTGGGAAAAGAGGTGAGCTAATGGGACAAACATGCAGTTAGATGAAAGGTATAAATTCTATTGTTCAACCGCGGAGTAGAGTCACGGTAGTTAATAGCAATGTATACATATTTCAAGGTATCTAGGAAAGAGGACTTGAAGTGTTTCTAACACATGAAAATGATAAAAATTCAAAGTGATAGATGCCTCAAACACCCTGACTTGATCATTATACATTCTCTGCATGTATTGAAATTTCACATGTACCCCACAAATATATTGCTCCCTGTCATTATTTTCTTATCAATCAGTCAACCGGCACATTTATTCAATATGTCTCATTCTGGGGATACAAAGATATAAGCAACATAGTTCCCACCATTAAAAAGCTTACCCTTTTTTTTAAGGAAGACATATTTCCTGTCACTCATATTAATTCACACATGAATAAATTCACATCAGACACTGAGCTAGTCATTGGGAATACTAAGATGACTAAAACATCTTCTGCCCTTAAACTCCAATTCTAATGAGGGAAATAAGACATATGTAGATAAAAATTTAAGTAGCACGAAGGGAAAAAGTACAAGTCCACAATAGAAAATGTGGTAAAAAGTCATATGCTACAAATTTCCCAGCAAGTGACTCATCAGTAAGTCCTCTGAGCACATAGGGTCTCATCCACAGTGAGAATAAAAGGACTGGAAAAGCTTCAGGAAGGAAAGGGTATCTTATTTGGACCTTGAAGGATGTGTTGGATTCCAGGAGGATTTCAGTGAGTTGTAAGGTTGCTGTCAGGGTGTCTGTGAAATTGTGCAGAAATCTGTTCAAGTGTCACTTTTTTTTTTTATTAATCAGTATTTTTTATTATGGTTTTGTGGGATACAGTTAAGGGTTAGGTGTACAATTACGTTTCATTCAGGCACCCTGTTGATAAGAGGTGTTTTCCCATCCCCAGACAGATATTTGCTACTGTTAATCCCATCCCCCTCCCCCCCCATAGTTTCCCAGTACCGTCAGTCATTTTCTTATAGTATTACATTGGATGTTCAAGGTCCATTATTTGAGTGAGAACATGTGATATTCGGATCTTTGTTTCTGTGAGAGGTCGCTCAGTATTATAGACTCTAGTTCCGTCCAGGTTGCTACAAAGTTCATGATTTTGTTCCTTTTTATGGCTGTGTAGTATTCCATCGTGTATATGCACCACATTTTTTTAATCCAGTCCTCTTTTGATGGGCAGCATGGTTGTTTCCAGGTTCTTGCTATTGTGAACAACGCTGTGATAAACATACGTGTGCATGTATCTTTTTTATAGAGCGATTTGTATTCTTCAGAGTATATTCCCAGTAGGGGGATTGCAGGGTCATATGGAAGGTCAATTTTTAGAGCTTTTAGGAATCGCCACACTGCTTTCCACAGAAGTTGCACTAGTTTACACTCTCACCAACAGTGTAGAAGTGTTCCCTTTTCACCACACCCTCTCCAGCAGCTGTTATTTTTTGAGTTGTTGATATGCCATTCAACAACTGGACTGGAGTTAGGTGGTATCTCAGTGTGGTTTTGATTTGCATCTCCCTGATGATTAGTGAGGTTGAGCATTTCTTCATGTGTTTGTTGGCTGCTCGGATGTCTTCTTTTGTGAAGTGTCTGTTCATATCTTTTGCCCATTTTATAATGGAGTTGTTTGTTTTCTTCTTTTCAGTACGTTTCAGTTCCTTGTAGATCCAGGATGTTAAGCCTTTGTCAGACCTAGAGTTGGCAAATACTTTTTCCCAGTCTGTAGGCTGTCTCCCTGCTCTCTTGATGGTTTCTTTGGCTTTGCAGAAGCTTGTCAGTTTAATAAGGTCCCATTTGTCTATCTTCTCTCTTAAGTCCTGTGGGTTTCGGGTTTTGTACAGGAATTGGATGCCAGTTCCGATTTCCATGAGAGTATTTCCTTCCTTTTCTAAGGTTCTTATGGTTTGAGGTTTTACATTTAGGTCTCTGATCCATTTGGAGTTAACCTTTTGCATGGGGATAGATAGGGGTCCTGTTTCAATCTTCTGCATGTGGTCAGCCAGTTTTCCCAGCACCATTTACTGAATAGGTTTCCTCTCCCCATTGGTAGGTGGTGGGGGCTTTGTCGAAGATGAGTTGGTTGAGAAATTGAGGTTTTGCTTCTGGAATCTCAATTCTGTTCCATTGATCTATATGCCTGTTCCTGTACCAATACCAAGCTGTTTTGATGATTGTAGCTTTATAGTAAAGTTTGAATCTGGTATTGTGATACCACCTGCTTTGTTTTTTTTGCTGAGGATTGTTCTGGCTATTCTTGGAGTTTGTGTTTCCATATGAATTCCTGTGTTGTTTTTTCTAGGTCTGAAAGAATGTTGTTGGTAATTTAATGGGTATTGCATTGAATTTGTAGATTGCCTTAGGTAAGATGGACATCTTCACAATGTTGATTCTTCCGATCCATGAGCATGGGATATTTC